TACTTATATGCTTTGATTATCTAATTGATTATTTCTTTTTGTAGTCACTATTCAATTGTCTATTGATATAATTTATTCCTTATTCGTTACGTCTTATTTTTATATTGGATCACCCTAATCAGGTGAGCTCTCGACAAAATTCGTCTTCTATTCACATCGGCGAGACGAAGGCGGATTACGCGCCGCGTAAGGCGAATCGTTGATACTTAATCATCGTTTATGGCTATTGAGTCGGACAACGGAAGAGCAAAATTACGCGGCGTATCGAAGATGTAATCTTGCGCAAACAGCACCAAACTTGGGTCTCACCGATTCTCTCGAAGAGTAATCGAATCAAATTAAAGACCGCGCCTGCGAATAGAATTAAGATCGCAGCCGTACTATTTTATTTCTCACGTTCCTATTTCTCGAATTACGTGAGTAATTTATACCTTTACGTTTACATCAATTCTATTCGTTTGTTTCAGAGCTAAACTTATTGTCTCGCGATCTTTCTTCTTTGTGAAAAAATTTTCTTGCAACGATTGTACTTTACTCTTTGAAAAGAATGCAATAATATAAATTTTAAACCTAAAGAAAATAAAATAATATAATTTTCAGAACTGAAGAAACCGAATAACATAGCTACAAGATGAAACGTATCCTATGATCTCGGCGACGTATAAGATTACCGGACGGATATGATTCTTAAATTGCTAAAATTAATTATCATGTGCAGACAAGAAATCGGATATCGTGGAGAAGACCGGGGTGATATTTTGAAACATACAGCGATTGTATTTTCACACCTCGCGTCTCGCTCAAGAAGTCGCTTTTATATTGGTTAGTGTGTACACTGTCTAGAAGGTCCAGAGGAAGGTCTAAAAGAATAACGGACCTCCTAAGCAAAAATGGTCATATTTTTTGTATTAATGACAAAAAATAACTGAAATTTAGTATAAAGAAACTGTAGAATGTTTATGATAAGATCATAATGTTAAATTTTCAAAACTTGCAAAAGTTTTAATTATTATTAAGATTTCTATAAAACTAAATTTTGGTCCGTTTCACACCATGGGTGAGGTAAAACTCACTTAAAATGAAATACTAAGAAATTAGATCACGATATCTATTTGCAAGATTTTGACGTTTTTTTTATAAATAACTCACGATAGTCTTATAATATGACATAATTTTTAAACCGTTGAAAAGCATAAAAAAGAAAACTAATTTTTTATGTTCATCCAGTAGATAGAGATACTTACTAAAATACACATCTTTACTAATGAAATCAAGTACAGCGACCATTTTAGCCCACGGTCCGTCTTACCCCACCTTTCCCTACATATTACAGGGTGAATAAATCAAATTTTTGTCAGTTTCCTATGCGTGTGACACGTAATCTTAATATACGTATTTTGTTTTTCAATTCTGCAAAAAAAAATGCAAAAAGAATAAAAGTAGGTATGATATTGCTAACAGATTGGTGCATAGTTTATCGCACGACTTGATAATTTTGTCTTGCGATAATAAGTGATCATTAATTTTGCTACAAAGATCGATCTGTAAATTATTGGCAGGGTAAGAAATAGTCTCCAGAAATATGCACGCGATAAATGTTAATTGATGATATTTCAGAAGATCGAGAAACTATTCCAAAGATTCGAATCGCCGACGACGAGCGTTCGTGCGCGGCGATGATCGCGCAAAGATTGCACTTTCATCATGAATTCTACCCACGTTGAAATTATGCTTATGCACCGTGCGGCCTCTGGTCGGACCCGCGTGCGCATGCAGCATACTTTCCGTCACGGCGTTGCCTTTCCCACAAACTGGAAACGGATGACAGAGAATTTCTTTTGGTATTCTCAAGGAAAAGCTTTTCAAACGTTAGTACCAGATTCTGCCGAAGAAGAGATCGCGCAAACATTAATACGGCGACGCGTCGCTTTGTACAGATAAAAAATTTATATTCAAAGCAGTGTCGTGAATTTCTGCATTTCCAGCGAATATGCGCGTTCGCATATGTTCGTGCAAAATTATGCTACAAAAATTAACGAAGCTCCAGCGCGATAGAAGTTGTTTGGCTTCGAAATTTACGTTAAGCGCCATTGACGTTAAGAAAGGCCACAGCGAATGCTTCGTTTTGCGCAAATGGTAATATAGTGGCTACTGCGATATTCGTGGAACATGTAATCGCCGGGGCACGCCGATGTAGCGGACGATACGACACGGATTTTACATTCGTACTATCCGCTCTCGCGAGAACGTCGTGCGAATGCGCGACGGAGGATTGAAATTCCTGAAGGACTTGCGAAGGTGTAGTCTCCGGTGAAGGGCACGGGTGGAGGCTCACGGTTTTAGCAAATGTTTCCGTTACGTTCCGAATTTAGTAACGCGGATTGCGTATCGCGTCACGCACCCGCCCGTCGATTAATGAGCGAGGAGCGCGCGGACGTGGGGAGTCGCGTGTCGCAATTTTTTTCTGCGGTCGGAGCAATGTATCCGGGTCAAAGTATCGCGCTCAGCCGAGCCGCAATTACATTCCGCAACATGTTGCGCCGACTGATCATTGCTCATTTTGCCCAGTATCGGGACCGCGAGTGAATCCGTTTCGCGTTCTGAACGCGGAAAGAAAGGAAATAAATCGATGTTTCGGCGCGATGCACAATCACGCGGAATTCATTCGCCAAATCGGCACAATACGTTGGCGGTTAAATGTACGCCGGAAATTCTCACGCGGAGACGGGTTGAACAGTTTGGTGCATTCGGCAAGGGCCGACGAAATAAAGGGGAATGCGCGAAAATCCGGCACCCTTTGCTGCAACGATGCTCCGAACCGCAATGGCGCGCAGTTCGTTCACCGGAGAGAAATTTACATATTTTTGACGCGCGCTCATTGCTTTCGCTCATGACACGAGCCATGTCGAAAATTTATTCACCCTAGGACGTAGCGCACCCCGGGATTCCCCATCGGGAGATTCATCTTGAGGTATCGACGCGTCTCTCAAAAGCGTTCGCCGAGTGATCGTCGAGGCCGCGAGACAGAATCGTGATGTCGGTTGATCTTCGTCGAAAGATCCTCGCGCGAGAGAGTCATATCTATCTAGGTACATACGAGGTCGAGCCTTCACCTCGATCACCCAGTATATACATATGAGACTTGCGAGCGAGAAAGAAAGACGGGGTACGAGAAGGTAGGTAGGTACAAGAAGGTAGGTAGGTAGGTAGGGAGAGAAACGAGACGCGTGAAGCTGTGCGAGACGCGTACGAGCGAGCTCGATGATCGGAGAAAGATTCGATGGAGAGCGCGAGTGCGGCGGGAGAAGAAAGAGGAGAGACGCAAAGGGGAGAGCAAAGGCACGAGAGATCGGTAAGAGGGGTCATTGGTTGTTCGTTGTACGCTCAACGTATGGGAATCGTTATGGACCAACTATAGCTATGGACCAACTATAGGAATACGTTTCTCGTTTCCTTTTTGTGTCTCCCCCGTATATCTGGTGGGCCGCTCTTGCTGTTGCAGCGGCGGCAAACATCTTGCGGGGTACCTCCTGTCGACCGGCGACCGGTAGAATCGACCAGGACGAGAGGGAGCGTGCTCAGAGTCGGAGAAGGATCGCAGTCGACTTCGACCTGGCGCGAGAAGGGGAAAAGGGGGGGGGGGGAAAAGAAGGATAGAACTGTGTAAGCAAATAGAAAGAGAGAACAGCAGCGTGGACGACGTGTTGGAAGAAAAGAAAGATTCGAATCCACCGCCGTGAAGAGAAGAAAGGAGCGCGAGAAGAGATTGGGTTAACGGGGAGGTGAGGGTGGTAAGCGACGGAGAACCGGGCGCACCAGGACGAAGAAGGATAGCCAGCAGAAGGAGAAATAATGGGTCTGCGAGATAAAAAAGGCGATCAGGAGGAAAGTCGACGAGGCAACGAGAAGAGAGGAGAGTCCGGCAGGATGTAAAAAGATCGTGAAAGTTTGAGACGAGAAAGAAGAACGTGTGTGAAGAACGAGAACCGGTGAGCACCGGAGAACGAGAGCCAGTGAGCACCGGAGAACGAGAACCAGTGAGCACCGGAGAACTAATGGAAAAGGAAGAAGATGCTACCGAGAATTCGAGAGTCAGAATGAAAGGTGTTGGACGAGAGGAGCGTATATTAAGAACGGTGTAACTGTTCGAGAGGAAGCTCTTCGTATAAAACAACACTTTCGCGCGGACAACGTCTGGTGTAACAACATCCGCATCATTCAAAAACGACCACCGTCGTCGGGACACGCCGAACAAGCGAATGCCGAGGTAAAGATAAACATTTGCGGGAGTAGACCGCAGGAGTATCGTGTTCAAAATATCAAGGGACCATGTACGGGTGGACGCGAAAGAGGAGCGATGTCCGCAGAAGAGGTACCGCAAAGAACAAGCTTGGAAACAAGAAGAGACTCGCAAGAACGCACGATCGCGAGGACGATCAGCGGCATCGACGTCCACCGATATTCGCCGCGGATAAGTCTACGATCGCCGCTAATTAAAGAAAAAAAAAAAAGAAAGATCGACCGATTATCCTCAAACAGCGACGCAAGACTAAAGTGAAGGACGCCAAAGAGCGGGACTGGCAAGAAGTTGTAACCGCAAGAGCGAGAAATCAGCATAAGCGAGAAGGAAAGAGAAGGAGAGAGAGATTGCCGACGACTGCCAAGTCAAGAGCGAATCTATCAAGTGGCGGAAGAGAGAAACGCGCGCCGACGAAATATCCAAGGTAGACTCGAGTGGGACCGTAACAGATGAACGAACGACCGGTAGAAGACATAGGTAGAAAGGACAGGTACTGTGAGAAGCGACGAGGAGGAGAAGCAAACCAGTCTTCCTTTCCGAGACGGTTATACGCCTGCTGACGTCACCGCGTATACGTTTGAACGAGCCAATCGGTACTCGCAAGCGCCGCGTCCGTCGGTTTACGCTAGCCGAGTCGCCGGATAACCAGGTAGAGAGAACGTGGTGGGATCAGACGATGGAGAATGAGAGGTGGAGAAAAGCCAAACTAAGAGAGGTGCGTACCAGTCTACAGCGGCGTTGTACCTTCACTACCAGACTTGACTAGGAGACCGACCAGTTGTTCAGTGAGTGCGGCAGTGATCGGCCGGTCTCGTACCGCGCTGGGTGTAAAATTCACCTTTTCCTTTCTCAGTCTCTATGTGTCCTTGCTACGATGGAGACAGACAATCAGCGTCCCGCTGATCAGTGATCTGTTTTAATCACGGAATGCAGAAGCCCGGCTCAAGATTAACGCAACAGGTATCATTTTTGTTTCGATGATTCTTTCCGAGCATACAATATAGTAGACGGTAATGCGCAGTTTGAACGCATGGAGGAAATCGCATATCCGAAAGAATCAACTTGAAAATCATTATACCGAGTAAAATACACGCGGATCGATTTCTTAGAAATTGCGGGATATAATTTGTTTCACAGAAAATATTTCAAAAATCAATAAATTAACAAACTTATTGAATTTTTTCACATCTTTTCTTATATTAAAAGAAAATTGGTATATCTAAAAAAATTACAGTCATAAAAAAATTTTTTTTGTTTAGTTCATATTAACGTTATACCTTTTCTTAAATGAGTCATTTACCTTGAAAGTAATGTAAAGACTACATTTTACTCAAATTGATAATATAAGTATATCGTTTTCGAACCCGCATCTATGGAAATTCATAATGTTTCACTTTCGCAATATAATACCGGTATATATACATTCGTATTCGTACACCGGTAAACACGAAACATATTAGTTAAAGTAAACAGCTTTGAGGAGAGTGTGGGTCAAGTTCGTGTCTAATACCTGAGTTTTTACTAAACCTATACTAAAAACCGTATTTACATCAAAGATTTCGTATACCAAGCAATCGTTTTCAAATTTAATCAAATTTATAAGATTTTCAAAACTTAAAAGTAAGGATACAGTAAAGTAACACTCTTGGTATATATTACCTTACACTATTCAATACAGCTTTCTCATCACAATAATGAGAGAAGGTTATAATATCATAACAAAAGAAGATCAAATTTCTTGAATTTAACGTTATACTATTCGATTTCAAATTTATAAGATTTTCAAAACTTTTGAAAATAAAGATATGTATAAGTGTTACTTCTTAACACTCTTGGGGTATACTATGTTATACTACCTTACCTCTACTTTATATATCCTTACTTTACAGATCTTTTTACAGATCGATTTATTAATATTTCCGTTAAAAATTAACTTTCGTATTTAGAGTACTTTAATACTACGAATATAATCAAACGGTGATATGATAAAAAATAAGGAAGCGCGGAATGCTCGGGGATATAGGCTTTCTCTGATATCGCAGGATAGCAGAGAACTTTTTCAAGGCTAAACGTAGTATCGTCAGACACTTCGGTCGGTTAATTATCTCGGTGAATTCGAATAATCCATCCGCGACAAAAACACATTAACAGCTTTCTACCAACGTGGCAAAATCGAGAATTTAATTCTTTCTCCTGAATTTCATCCTAAATAGTAAGTTGCAAAATTTTTTTTTAGTCTTTGAAGAGATCTTTTTCTAATAAATTCTTTTACTCACTATATAAAATTATTTTTTGCATTTACACATTTTAATGCAAATTGTTTCATCTTTAACTATTCCGTAGATACGTTAGGTCTAATGTTATTTAACATAAATTGTGATATAATTTTCAATCGTAAAGTTAGAGAATGTGAATCTATCATAAAATTTCGTATTTTTATTTTATTAACCGTCATTACGCACTATTTTGTGATACTAATTAATATTCCGAATTAATATATATTATGTTAATATGTTTCACTTTTTCATTTTTTTCTGTAGCGTGCATTTTTTTAAGACTTCTCACCTTTGCGTATTTTTTTGCTCTTTTTTTCTCTTTTCGAACATCAATCACCGGTTTCACATTCACATTGCCTGTTACGCGCATCCTCATCGTCGGCGATTCGCACCGTTTCGCGTGCGAATTTCCGCGGGCCTCTTAGCAACAAGTTATACACACACCTGCCGTGGAAAAGCAGAGCCGTACGAGCATTCTCGTTGCGAAGTAACGCAAGCGTCTTTCTTCTTTGTCGCTCGACAATCACCGCCGCAATTTTGTCTACTTCATGGCTCGATTAAGTATCAATTTTAAACAAAATTCCCGATATCTTGATTAAAATTTTATTTTATATGGAATATAAATAAAAAACGCAATATATGCAACTTCCGAAAGATAATTCGTAGCAAAAATCTTATTCGTTCGCGCATTATTTCTCAGAGTGATTTCAAAATTTGATAAAAGACTGAAATTCGACCTTCCTCGATAAAAAAATAAGTTAATATTTACTGTATTAACGAAATAAATTTCTTACTATGTAGTAATTAATTCAATATCATTCTTGTTTCCAATCACTATATTATGATTCAATACGCTCGACTTGACCTTAGTATCTTATTGCATCTGTAGCCTACACACTTCTTAAACAAGAGCAAAAAGATATTATTCATTTGAATCCGTATAAGTCTCCTCTCGCAAATGACGCAATATACGCAGGCAATACCTGATTGAATGGCTTAATACGAATTTTGTAAAAATAACAGCTTAGTCACTCATATATATACATCTCGTGTTTTCGTACATTTATATTTCTTGTCTAATAAAACGAATATAAAATTTGACAAGGCTCGAACGATTAAGTAAATCTAAACCAAAAGGCAAATAAACTAACGAGTCGTTAGAAACGTTAACGAGCGTATGAAGTGCATTAGAAACGAAAAATCTGTTTCATGATATATACACATCATCTTCTCACTGAATTTACTAGAGTAAACTTTTGCTCAATATAAATTTGATCGGGCGTTGTTCGTTTCTTACGAATTCCTAATATACAATTTTAAATACTTCATGAAACCTTGTGTATTATCTGAAAGTAAGTACAACACGTTCGAGCGTATCGATAAGACACAATCGTAGGAATGACGATAATTCGTATCTCACGTTGACGTGTTAAAAGAGACCACAGAACGAAAAACTACGCGCTTATGTCGTATAATATGTACTATTGGTCCATATGTACTATTGGTCCATATGTACTATTGGAGCAAATGTGCGTATTATGCACAAATTTGCACTTAACATCAACTACAGACCACTTCTCTCGATATCGGCAAGAAATAACATCAGATTGGATATTTTTCAAGTTACTATCACTTAAAAGCATCTGCTCTTCATTATTTATATAATATACATTTCATTATGTTATATTTTTTGTATATCCATTTGTAATTATAATAGGTGCTTATTTTTCTATTTTTTAAATAAATTGGTTTCAGCTGTTGTTAATATTTAGTTGATAATAGCCAATTCGATGCTGGCGGGAAGTCGTTTCTGTGCGACACGCATATTCGCTGAACGTAACCGGTATTATTGCCGCGCGGAAGCCTATATCGCGTGCGATCTTCATTGCGTCGGCGAAACGTACCCGAGATCGGTACGGTAGAGCGAGCTTCCTAAGAATAAAATGCAAACACGCCGCATCTGCTCGTTCTGCATACATACGTACGCATTCCGCAAAATTACGTTCAAAAATTAGAGTTGCAGATCTGGAGTAAAATTAAAATTAATCAATGTAAAATTATTTCAAGGATATCCACATCAAATTATAACGAAATATCAATGCAATTTTAATAACGTGGATATCAGCAATTTTTAACAAAATAAAAACGTCAAATACTAAATAAAATATTCGTTTAGTTTCTCTCTTATATTTGGAAATGTTTATTTAATTAATTTTTATTCATTTGGCAAATTTCATAAATTATCGCGAAAACTGTTTTATTCAGATCGTGATCTAATATATTCACATATGCGATTAATGTTAATTATACGTTCTATCTCTTTTATTTGATGCGGTTCAAAATTAAAAAATACTTCAGAGCACGTAGTAAGATAATTCGAATTAAATACAGCTTGTCGATTCTACTATCACTTTATGGAGATATTATAGCGAAGATCACGAATGACCTAGTATTTGACCTTGAATATTATGTTACCGTTTCGACTTAAAACCAAACGTAAAATCAAATTTTTTATATTTCTCAAAAAAAAAAAAAAAAAAAATTAAGTTGGAACTTCTGATTAAAGATATAATTTTTTTTAGATATCTGTTCTTAGAGCTCTTAAAAAAAGTAAGAGTAGAGTAGCCTACTTCAATTTGTGAGGATTACTAAGCTGAAAATAGTGCTTTATAACCTTAGACAACCAACGAAAATATAGAAGAATGAACATTCTAGATATCATTAAGACCTATCTTAAATACATTCGCTTATTTATCACAATTATTACTAGTTTCAATTTTCTAAATATATATAATTTTGTTCAAAAAATATATAATAAATTATCTTTCAAGATAATCATTTCCATGGACGAGCTATTTACCTACAAAAAAATTATTTCATACATTTACTTATATTTTCTTTCTTGGGTTTTCCGTATCGAGCATACGTTTGGAAAAATAAAATCGTGAATTTAACAAGTTGGAATAATGTTTGCGAGTGAAGCTGTGACTGTCTCGAGAATTCGTACAGCTGTGTTTGCATAAACGATTGGAAATCGTATTTAAAAACAAGTTCGTTTCGTTAGAAGCCGAATTTATCGTCACGCAATTGAGAATAAATGGTCAGCCATAATCGAGAACCTTAAATGGCAAAATTTTTTAGAAACTTACATCGCACGAAACGCTTGACTGACTCGATCATTACGAAACACTTACGCGAATTTGACGAGATAACAGGTACGGTCAACAGGCCGTATCATCCGGCAAATTTGTAACGGTTGAATAAAACCATTAATTAAATTGACAAAGCGATACTACTCCAAATTACTTTAATTTAATGATAATAATTATGAGAATAAAATACTACAAAAATTAAAATAAAAGGATCTTCCCACTGTGACACTTTCAAAAAATCGAAAAATCTGTTTTGCATTTTCTTACAGTTTAGCGTCATAAAAATATAATCCCAAAGTATGAAATATAAAATCGAAAAATTACCGAAGCTACAGGCTTTGGAGCGGAGCGGCGCGCAGATAGAAATCAGAGAATCGTAAAACTTCAACTCACGTTTTCTTCAAAACAACATTTTTTAAATCGGTAACCATGATATCTCAAAAAAGGATTGTACGATTTACTTCAACCTTGGCAGATATGTTCAGTAAGTCTCTTTATTTCCTGTACTACAACTAAGTCAATATTTGCAAAATTCGATTTTTGCGATTTAAAAAACTAGCGATCTTTTTTGCAAAAATCAAAACTTTTCAACATGCTGCTATTTTTTTATTTTACGAAATTTTTACTTCTCCGTAGTACGGGCTATAACCACACTCATACAATTTCAGAATTTTTTTTTTTTTTTTTTTTTCAGATAAATACAACAGCTTATTTTATGGTTACCGTAAACAAAAAATATTTTTATGCACTCCGGCAGAATTGCTATACCTCTATTGATTTGTTTAAAATCAATTTCTTTAAATAAAAAAAATACTGGATATTCACAAAATTTGTATAAATAAGCCAAAGTTTTAGATGAATACATCTTATATTATTTTTATAAAAAATTTTCAAAAATCACCTTATTTTTCGACCGTCAGAGTAGGAAGACCTCTTAAAATATAAGCCATGCAACATAATGTGTGCTATATCTTGGCAATATTACGAATTTGTTTTTAATACATAAATGTTTAACTGTAACTTTATTCCATAATTAAAGCCTGTGTTCTAAAATATGTTTAAATGGTAAAGATTATATTAAATTAATAATTAAAAAATATTCGCTGATTAAAAAAAGTATATAAATATTTATCATAAATATTTTGAGAAAACTTACATTATTTAGGGGAGTTACGATAAGCAGTGTTACGATAAGCAGTAAAAACATAATTGTAAAAGTCAGAAACTGATAAAATAGTGACAACATCAGAATGCCTAATGCCCATTTCTACCAATGTAGATTAATTTTAATCTCGGTTCAATTTACTCTTCATATTTTTCTAGTTCTAAGAATTAGAAAAAGATAAAGAATAAGTTGAACCGAAATTAAAGTTAATCTACGTTGATGGAACCGGGCATAAAACAAATATCAAAAACAAATAACGCCTTCCTAAATTATCCTAAAACCTAGATTATCTAAATGTTAGAGAAACCCGAATAATCTCAGGAAAAATAACTGATTGACGAGACAAGCTATGATAAAAAAATATAACAAAGTCCTAAAATAATAAAAAAAAAACTATGCAAAGATTTAATAATCAATTTGTCATTTTTTACTGCTATTACTGCATTGTCATATTATATATATTCATATATTTTTTAATTATAATTTATAATTTTTAATTTAATGTATTTAAAATTTTTTAGTTTCCAAGAAGTAATTCTTCGATATAACTTTAATGCCGATATCTTTATTGCCGTTCAAGCATTTGGCGAATTTTTATCTAATTCGACCACGATATCATCGATTGAAGCCAAAGATTGAAGCCAATTTAAAGAAATACAACAAATTCGAAATCACATGTATGGAGGAAACTTTTTATCATTGACAATGAAAAATTTCTTCTTGAATAATTTGAACCGACACCATTTGATCGAGTCAAATTAACAACGATCGCTCGGCCGTTCATTGATCTCGCAAACAACTTATCAGCGAGCACGCGTGTCTCCGTCTTGGCAAGTGTATCACTGCCGGACGTTAGTGCCGCGAAATACTCTCAAGAGGTGCGATAAATGGGTAATATATAGCCGAGCTAACAACAGTGGCAGAGACGAACACGAGAAATCGAAGGCCGGTCGGCCACGGTCGGCTTATCACAGTCAGATACGTTACTTACGTGTGTTTACTGTAACTACGTGATGTCTGATTTCACGGGACGGATAAGAAAGCCTTGATAAAATCGAGAATCGTTGTAGTTCAATCGAAAGAAAAAAAGAACGAAGCTGGAATTTATTCACGTCGAAATCCGGCAGCAAAATAGTTTCGTCGCGACAGACTCGTCAGACAGTCGTCCTTGACATTTCGTGCGTTGTGATTGCGTGATAATGAAATTAAGTTGTTCTCAAGCGAATGCAAAGTGCTGCTGTAACCGAATCAGAAGATCGAGAGTATCAGTCGTGAACACATTGTGCGAATATCGCTTTGTTCGTATCACCAGACATGTTTCACATGTTAAAACGTTAAGTAGCATTTACAAAACTGCAATTTTTCTTAATCCATTTTCAAGTCCATCTTTCTTCATTCTAGTATGTTTCGTTATATCGCGTTAAGTGTAATAAAATTATATGTTAATAAAACACGCGTTATAATATGATTATCCATACAATCTATCCCGCATGTTCACGATTTTACATTTTCGCCGATTTCTCTATCACCAACACGTCGAGGTTAAAATATCACAATGATAAGCGCGTATGTGTTAAATATGGCACGATAATCAGCCGTCTCTTCTCGTAGCACGATATAACTTATGAAAAAGCGCCATGGGCGACTTTGTGATAAAATGACGCGAGCGGTTGCGATTTCTTTTCGAAAGCAGAGATTTATTTTAAGAGCAGAAAGTTTTGCTGCTTGTTTCGTGAAAGACGGAACGAGAAAAAGAGAGAGAGAGAGAGAGAGAGAGAGAGAGAGAGGAGGAGAGAGAGAGAG